CCCGCGCTGCGCCTCAGCCGCGCATCGCCCTCACATCGCCGCACCATGAAGGCTCTGCTGCTCGCCGTGCTGGCCGCGGTGCTGTGCGTGGAGAGGGGTAAGGGACAGGGATGCTGTCACCAGCATCACCTCTGCGCGAGCTCTCTCTGGGGCCGCGGGGGTGGGGAGCGATGCGTTTTGCGGGGTGAGCTCTGAAGTTGGAGGTTTGCGGGGGGTTGCAGAGAGGTGGGGGGAGCAGTGTGGAGCCGTGTTAGGGTTTGGAGTGGGATTTGGGGAGGGGGTGTATCTTTCCGAGACGTGCTTGGCAGCAGTGTCCCTCTTGGAGCGTGAACTTTGGGGTTTCGCTGCCTGTAGGAATAGCTGAGCATCTTCAGCTCTGCGGGTGGATTTTCTGGAGCTTTTCCCAGTCGCAGCTTGAACAAAGAGCAGGGCCGGCTGAGGTTCCTCTTGTGGGTGCAGAGAGCTGGGATAACGGCGTGGAGATGCAGCCGAGGGGAGATGGAGCCCAACCCTGGCAATGGCTGATGGAGCAAAGTCTGGGCACAGCCACTGGAGATTCTGCTCCTGCCACCCCCTCTGAGCATCCTTCGGGGCAGGCTGCGGTGCCAACGCGTGGGGTGATGATCCATAAGGGACAGTGCCCTGTGGGTCTCATCTTGGAGCTGCCACTGAGCCTAGGAAGAACCTGGGGAGAACGTGTTGCTGGGCATTAAACTGCCAAGTTGTCCAAGTGACAGGGCCTGTCACCCCCTCCTTCCCATCGCCTTCATATCTCCAAACTCCACGGGGCTGTGCAAAACCACATATTGTTTCCATAGGTTGGTGCTTGGAGAAGTTAAACAAAGAGCAGACAGCAGAGTTTTGGCCTCTCAGAGCCCCTGCTCAGCAAACATGGGCCCTTCTTGTCTCCTGAGGACAGCAGGGAGAAGAAACTAGTTGGTTGCTGCCCTTCCCATTCCCTCCTCCCAGTGGGATCCGGGAAGAAAGTGGCAATTCAAGCGTTGAGGCTCGGTCAGATCCCAGCTGGCATATGCTGGGTTCCAGCTGGGAGGATGGGCTGACCAGGCCAAGGTAGTAAAAGGTTTCATCTCTCCCCTAGTCCACAAAAAAATCTTCCAGCTTTAAAAGTTCTCAGCCAGACAGAAAGGTTTGTTGCAGGTAGTTTGATCCCCAAACACTTCCAGCTTCTCCAGGGGGGTATTTTACAGAAATGCTTTACCCTCTGCTCAAAAATGTTTGTTCTCTATGGATCTTGATAAGGATTTGGTCTTAAGAGAATGGAAAGGGAGTGTTTGGCATCGGGGATGAATGAAAAAGCTAACGAAGCAACAGCATTTTCCCCGGTGCTGCCGAGCTAAGGAATGGGTTTGTAAATTGTAAAGGCTTTTTCCCCCTTCCCCTTTGGTTGCTCTTTGCAACCTCTTATCTTTGGGAATTCCCCCAAATGCTGTGCTCGCTTTTGGGAGCTCTTTGTTCCTCGGAGGAGCCAAGCAGCAAACAAACAAACAGGCAAATTCTTTCTTTGGTGAAAACTAGGCTTCTCTTTTGCATTGTTCAGTCTTGGGGTTGGTTTTTTCTTCTGCTTTTTTTTTTCTTGTAGCCTTGAGCTCCAACTCTTTGCTCTGTCTCTGCATGAGATTAATTCTGCCACCCCTCTTGTGCCTTTTGTCTAACACACACAACCTGCTTGTCCTCTCCTAACTCTGCAGTGGGTTATTTAAGTAGTTTAGGGGGCAGAAAGTGACTGATTATTTCCTCTCTCAAACTGTATTGGAAGACAAACCTCTCCTGGAAAGATTCTGGCTCTGTTAAGACAAGGAGTGGTAGGTAGGTGTGACAAAGGAAAACATGGGGAGATGCTAGGGTAGGAGCATGGATTTAGTCATGTGGCAGAGGATTTCATGCCTAACAGCATTTCAGTGTCATGTACAAATATTTCTGGTGTGTTTGGATCTGGAATCTCTCAAGGCTTAATGAATTTCATTGTGGCACTCAGCTCATGCCTTCAGCATAATGAGCAAATCCATATGGAGACATATGTCCTGCTGTAATGCCCACAGGAAGGCTGTAATTCACTTCATTCCCTGTTGCAGCTGTTTCCTGGGAAATAGGATGAGTCAATTTGCCTCCTCAGGGTGGTTGCAAGGTGAAGGGTTTGGGACAGGTCACCTGAGACTTAAGCAGGAGTGGGATAAGGGATCAGGAGAACTGAGCTTCACTCTGACGTCCCACATGGAGTATTGGCCAACCCAGAGAGTTCAGCAAGGGACAATGACTCAATGGCTGGTTCCATCCTCCTCCCCCCTCTCCTAAATCCAGAGGCAAGGTGCACTGAGGAATCTCTCCTGGGGCTTTTGACTCAACTGCTGGCCCTGTAATCCTGGGTGCTGCATTGGTGTACTCAGGTTTGTTGCAAGGATCGTTGCCAGAGTGATGATCCTTGGAGAATGTATGAGACAGGCCAGGAAATTCTTGCTTAGGGGTTGTGGTGTTGGCTTGGATTCCAAAGCAGAGTCGTTTGGCTGCCCTGTTGTGACATTCAGGATCTCCCACTAACCTTTAATCTGCTTCTCTGAGATTATGTTTTGGTTTCTTTCCCCACTGTGACTGTGTTTGCTCTGAAGTCATTCCTCTGAAGACAATTGTTAGTCGTCTAAAAACGATTGTTTGCTCTCAATTTTCTTGTAGAAACCTTTTATTTTCCTCAGAGAAACAGGATTGAGAAGAACCTCAAGGCATTGTGCAGTCCCAGGGCAGAGTGGGACAGCTGCTGAGCAGTATTTGTCCAACTTACTTTTCAAAATACTCCATGACAGGAATGCTGAGCCTCAGTGAGCTCTCCCAGAGCTTCACTGGCTGCACCTTCTTAGGGTAATACCTGAAGGAAGCCTACAAGAAAACTGGAGAGGGACTTTTTACAAGGGCATGTAGTGATAGGACAAGCAGAAATGGCTTCAAACTGAAAGAGAGTAGGTTTAGATGAGGTATTGGGAAGAAATCCTTCCCTGGGAGGGTGGTGAGGCACTGGCACTGGTTGCCCAGAGAAGCTGTGGCTGCTTCATCCCTGGAAATGTTCCAGGCCAGGTTGGATGGGGCTTGAAACAACCTGCTCTAGTGGAAGGTGTCTCTGCCCATGGCATGGGGTTGGAAATGAATGATCTGTCAGGTCCCTTTCAATCCAAACTATTCTATGATTCCATCCTTACTAGGAATGATGCTGCCTTGCATTTCCCATCCTGAATCAGCCCCCACTGTGCTTTGCATCCTATAAACACAGAAGAGAGCAGCAGTTCCTCATGGAAGGGCTGTCTGAGAGCTCAAAAATCAGAGCCTGTGAAACATTTGGAACAGACCTGTCTGCATATGTAGGTCAACAGTTGCAGTGTGGATGAGATGTTCTTGTATGTAAAATGCAGAGATCATCCATCCATTGCAAAGTGCCTATGTCCCTGCTGAGTCACTGGTCCAGGCTGTTTCCACAACCATTTCCCATCCCTGAATGCTGTTTCCCAATCTTTCCTCTATCTTGGGTAGATCTGACGGATAAGGGATGGGAGTCAGTGCAATCCTGCTGGTGTAGGATGAACCAGAAAAGTCCTCAAGTTGCTCCAGTGGAGGTTTAGCTTGGAAATTAGGACAAAATGTCTTTACTGAAAGGATGTCCAAACATTGCAAGAGGCTGTGAAGGACAGTGGTGCAATCACTATCCCTGGAAGTGATCAAAAAATATGTGGATGAGGTGCTGAGGGACATGGTTTAGTGGTGGACCTGGTGTTAGGTTAATAGTTGGACTCGATGACCTTAGAGGTCTTTTCCAGCCAAAATGATTCCATGATTCTATGATTTATGGGGACCTGCCATGGAGGGAGGATCCAAATTAATGCTCCTGCTCCAAATTAAAAAGGTTGGATGCGTAAGCTGCTTTCATAGTGCTGTGACTCCCTGAGTGGGGAGAGGGTGCAAGTCCTTGCAGGTCTTGCTGCACTGCTGGGCTTGCTCTAGCTGAGAAACCATTTCCACCATGTGCTCTAGCCCAAAGGCAGGTCATGGAAAACTGGAAGCCATGGGCACACCTGGAGCATTGGACATCAATGTAATAGAATCAATCACAGAATGGGTTTGCTTGGAAGGGACCTTAAAGATCACCTAGTTGCAAACAGGGAGGTGCCAGAAAGTACCAGGCTGTGGTGGGATTGATGCTTTAGCTGACAACTGATCCTCCCAGGAGCTGGAAATGTATCCCTTATGCTTGAACCCTTCACTTGGCCAAATTTTTGGGAAGAAAAACACTATTTCAGGTTGATACAGCCAAAATAGGAAGTGTGGCTGTAGCCAGCTGTGATGCATGTCATGTGTTGGAGGTGGGGACCACCAAGTGAGGAGATCTTCCCACCAGCCCCTAACTGAGGTGTTGCCTTTCTCTTGCAGCCCACACACTCATCTGCTTCTCCTGCTCTGATGCCTCCTCCAACTGGGCCTGCCTGAAGCCTGTCAAGTGTGGGGAGAATGAAAACCACTGCGTGACGACGTATGTCGGAGTGGGACTCGGTGAGTGCTGACAGGATCTTCTCCTGCTCCTCTTGGCTGCTCTCCTGGGTCACCTGCTGAGCTGAAGGGAGGTTATCCTTCCTTTAGCTGGGGGGAAAAAAAGGGAAAGTTCTGCTTAGCAACTGAGTGTTGGACCATCCCACGGGAATTTCGAGGAGGGACTTGCTACTGCCAGGAGGAGTCACGTTAGAGCCCACGTGTCTGCACAGACTCCAAGAGTCCGAGGGGAATTTCAGCCTGGGGGTGGGGAGGTTGCTGATGAATAAGTGAAAGCGTGGAGGATGTTGCAGCCTTCCTCTGGAGGAAGCTCCAGGATTGCTGTTCCTGCTTTTTGCATTGTGTTTGGGTTGTTTATCCCCTTTTCCTTCTTCCCTTTCTGTGGATGCGATGGGAAGGAAGATTTGGAGGTTTTCCTCCTTGAGTGCCAGGAAATGTTTGGGGGGAGTCTGTGCTTCCCAACTGCTGCTCCCAAGAGGAGCAGGTTGCTCTGGTTTGTCTCCTGGTGCCTTTGCAGAGCCCAGAGCCTGTGCCTTGCAGGAGGAGGGGGTGTTGCATGCCTGAGGCTGCAGCGTGGGTGGGTCATGAATGCACAGAGGTCTGGGAGCTTTTATAGACAATCTAATGGTTTCCTCTTTCCTGCCCCTTAATGTGCCTCTCTGGAAGCACAGACTTGGCTCACAAGTGCCTCCCTGGTGCTCTATACACTCTATGGTGCTCTCTGTCTCCTTTAAGGAGTCTCAGGGTGAAGCTTGAGTGAGATTTTTAAGATTCCTCATCAGAGCTGTTGTGGCCAAACATAGCCAACAGCCCTGAGGTGTTGTGTGGCCTCTAGGGTCTGTGGGGGAGGTTGTCATGGGTGTTCCTTGAAATTGAAAGCGGAGACAGTTAGATTAGATATCAGGGAGAAGTTTTTTTGCTATGAGGGTGGTGAGACACTGGCACAGGTTGCCCAGGGAGGCTGTGGCTGCCCCAACCCTGGCAGTGTTCACAGCCAGGTTGGATAAAGCCTTGAGCAACCTGTTCTGGTGGGAGGTGTCTCTGCCCAGGGCAAGGGGTTGGGACTGGGTGATCTCTAAGGTCCATTCCAAGCCCTTAACATACTATGAAACTATGAAATGTGTGGGTGGCTGAGGTCACCATCAGAGCCTGACACCAAGAAACACTTCATCCTCTCTGTGCCACCTGAGACTCTTGAGCTATTTCTGTGCTGTTGCTTCCTTTAGCAGAACAGATGATCACGAAGCCAAGAAACACCTTCAACATCTGTCTCCTTTTCCTTTTCTTCTTTTTCATCTCACCCCAACCCCAATCCAGGTGGCAAGTCTGGCCAGTCCATCTCGAAAGGATGTTCCCCTATCTGCCCCAGTGCTGGGATTAACGTTGGGATAGCAGCTGCCTCCGTGTACTGCTGTGACTCCTTCCTCTGCAACATCAGTGGCACCAGCAGTGTCAAAGCCAGCTCCACACTCCTGGCCTTGGGGGTCCTCATCAGCTTCATCTACGTCCTCCGGGCTCGGGAGTGATGGGCTTGGCTGAGGAAGAGCCACCTTCCACAGGTTGTTGTGGGTCTCATTAGCCAATATCTTCTCTGTTGCTGTCTGCAAAGAGATCCTCTACTTCTCAGCAGGCTTCCAAGGTGATTGTTTCCCAGACTTTATGCTCTTCCAAGCATCAGAGACCTGGGTGGTTTGGCCAAGCTCTTCTTCTTCTTCTGTGGACATATAACCCCACTGCACTCTCACACCTCCTGGGCAAAGGTGGATCGTTTTGGAAGGGTTTCTGCTTTTATACCTAATAACCCCCCTCATTTCTAAGGTTGGTAAACCAAGGCTGGGACTCTCCAAGAACCAGTTAACCCCCACACCACCGGGTCCAGCGTTCAGACATTCCTCCATGGAGGTGCCTGGCACCAGCCTTGGGTGGCACAGGCCTGGGGAATGCATGATCTAAAGGGAGACACATTCCTGGCCCCTTGCAGCTGCAAGTCTCTTTTTATAAACTAGTTTGGTTTCTTCTGATCCTGGGCTGACTTTTCTGGAAAGCAAATGACGTGTACGTTGTCCTTCTGAGCTCTGTAAGTGCCAGACCTGAATAAACATGCTCCTGTTGTTACCTGAGGTGGGACGTGTGCTCTGTGTGTTTCCTTGCTCCAGACAAAGATTAGACATGGAAAAGCCAAGCAGTGTGCCTGGCACGAGGGCCTCTCACCCTCTCCAGCAGCATTGGAGTGCTTCATGTCAACATTCCTTCCAGTTAACCTCTGAGCAGCAAATTCACCTCCTCCCTGTTGCTGTCCTTTCTGGTAAACACCCCCGGGCCAGCTTGTCTCACCTCTCTTGGGAATTGCCTTTTCCAGGTGCATTTTAGTGAAAACTCTATTTTTTGGGGGGCTGAATCAACCCTGTTCTTCATAATGGAGCAAGTGCACTGGGAGCAGGACCTGTCATCTGCATGCTACAAAGACTCTGTGCCTCAACATGCCCACTTTGGACTTGTGATAGCCAAGAACATCAATACCTAACTGAACCAGAGCAACAGGTCTGTCTGCAGAAGGTAGTGAGGTCAGAGGCAAAGCTATCAGTGCTACCAGATCTTTAGGTTCAACCTGCAATGCCTGATGGTGCACATGGACTGTGCTGAAGGTGACCTTCACCACCCAACCTGCCACTCCTGCTGTCCCTCAGATCCCAGGATCTTCCCCAGGTCTTTCAGCAATGTTACTCCTAGAAGTTCTCAGCAGTCCCATGGGAGATGTGGCCTCCTGCCATCTCTGTGTCATCTGTCTTACCTACTTTGCTTACCTGTGGACCTGCTAGACACCAACCAAGCCAAAATTCAGCCTTAAACTGCCAGGTGAAAGCTTCTTGTCACTTCCACTTGATTGCTAGAGGTGCACTGGGCTTTTTTTAGTCTTTCTAGCAGCAAAAAAACAGGTGTAGCATTGGCACTCTTTAGCCATAACTTCCTTGTTTGTGTTTCTCCTGTTTTGTGTCAAAAGACCAGCAAAAGCTGCACACACACTGTTTAATTATACCTCTGTCCCCACTTCAGTGAGTGTTAGACAGCTTCTCCTGGAAGATATTGGGCAGGTGTATAAAGATATTTGCAACAAAAGTGGTTTCATGGGGTTTTTTTCCCCCCTCCTCCTTCTCCTCGTCTTCTAATTAAAATGACACAGATGTTTAATGACACCTTTCCAACAGGAGGGACAGGTCATCAGCATGTGACCTGCAACTAGGTGATGAGTTTGGTAGGAATTCAGCACTGGGGTTGGTCTTGAGATGTGCCTTCCTCTGGTTAATGCATCCTCCCTCCCCTCCTGGGGTCTGCTGGGACCACAGGGCTTGAGGTGCACCACAAACCTCTGCTATGCATGTGGAGCACAGGGAAAACTGGGGGGAAAAGTTACTAAAAATGAGGGAAATATTCCCCAGTTTCCCTGTGCCTCAGCCTTCCTCCCAAAAGGCTTCACAACACCTTGTTTGCTGGGTTGATTTGGCCCTCAACATTTGCTGTGACCCCAAGGTGGCACCCAGAGTACTCTACCTGGAAATTCTGGGACTGTAACTTTTCTGCCCACCTAGATAAAGGGTTTGGATTTGGTTTTGGACTCAATTGCCCTCAAAAACCTTTAGCAAAGAGCTAAACTTAGAAACCATCAGCATAGCTGTGTCCATGCCTTTATGAGGTTCTCACATTGGACAACCCCATGGGCTGAAGCCACAAAACCTGGTTGTGTCCTCCAATGGCAATTTCCTTCCTATCCCAGCATTTCAGAGGCTGTTGGTGCCAAGGATTTGGTTGTGCAAGGGAGGGAAGGGTGGTAGGAGGAGCATTGCCAGGGGACAGAGCTGAAGGTCAGGTCACACTTGTTCTTGAGCTATAGATGATGAAGAGAATTGAGTTTCCTCTTCTCTTTCTCTTTCCTCCTCATGTGGACCCTTAGGATAGGGGAAAAGAGATTCAGTTTTTCCTTTTGAACACCTGTGGCAAAGATCTGTTTGATAGATAAGTGGCTGATTGAGAGAGAGAGGGGGAGACTGTGACAGCTTGGCACAGCTTAATCCCAAGCATTTTATCACCAACTGTCAGTATTCCTGGTCCTTCTAGGGAGATTTTTTTTGTGCCCCAGCATCCCCAGGATGAGAATCCATGGAAAACCCTCAGCTGTTGTCAAGCCCAGGAGGGAAAGACCTGAAAATGGGCAGCTGAAGTAATTAAAAACATTAATAATAAGATAATAAGAAGAACTCAGCACTTATAAAGCATTAAAACTGGTGGGTTGTTACACAAAGTGTTGGATTTGGAACTTGAGGGCCACAGTGGGAAAGCCCTGAAGTGTTTTGAATGTGTTTCTGGGGACTCTGGGATGAAGAGGTGAAAATCTGAGCAGAAAACTCAGATATTCACCTTGTCTGACAAGACAAGAGGTTAAGGGCAAGGCAGATTTGCTCCCTGTCAGCATAAAATATCCTGGAATAGTTTGGACTGGAAAAATAAGAGGAGCTGAAGTGAAATTCCTGCCCATTTTGGAGCATGTTAATGGTTTCAGTGCTTCCAGCCTGGAAATGGCTGTATTTGACCAGCAGCTGCTGCTGCCAACTACCACTTACACCTCCAAGGGCTCTAACTTTTGTGTGTTGTCTAAAAATGCTC